TCAGTATTTGATGTACTTCTTTATCCTTTTCTTTGAAGCTCTGGGTTCCAGGATTGTCGTCCCTATCTGTTTCATGTGATTTCTCAAGTCTTTGTCATAGAGGATTTGGGTAGTATATCTACTTAGTCCGCTATGTTGGCCATCCATCCTTTCTTAGGATTTCTGACATTAATGGTATTTGTTTTACAAATTTGTGAATTTTCATTTAGTGAATATACTTTTATAAGATCTCATCTCATTACTTGTAGTTTCTTTGCTGTGTTTGCAATATATCATGATCAGTAAAAGTACATTTTTTTTTGATCAGGTGATATCATTAGTGTCTATATGTTAATTATACAGACTGTATCCCCTGTGTATAAACTTGTTATATCTTCCTTTATCAATTTGCTTTCTAGCTTGTTTTAGAATACAGAAGTCTAAAATGGGATCCTGTCTTCCTATAGGAGAGTGTTAGAATTAAAGATTGTATTCCTTATCAGGGAGCTCTGGTAGTGTAGTGCCTAAGGTACTTGACTGCTAACCAGAAGGCTGATGTTTCAAACCCACCAGTCACTCCCTAGAAGGAAGGTTGGGCAATCTATTTCCATGGTGATACCACCTCGGAAACCAAAGGAGGGGTTGCTATGGGTCGGGTCCGACTCAACAGCATATAACAACAACAACATTCCTTATTAAAGATAAACTGTAATTGATTTTTAACAAAAACAAAAATATATAACGTAATTATGACAATTACAAACGTATGTTAATGTAAAATAGTGTACATAAGTACTGCATACCTTACCATACAAAGTCTCAATAGATTATACATAAATACAACTACTAAGCCATAAATCTGAACTATCTAAAAGTTACATGTAAGCATAATAAACATCATTCATCATTTTTATTTTTATTTATTTATTTTTTAAAACCATGTTAGAAGTCTGGAAGATGGAAGACTATGAAATGTATGGCTAGCATCACTAAAAATTTGAATTCATCCCTTTGTTACCTCTAAATACATTTCATTAAATAAGTAGAGACATTAATAATAATACCTTATAATTGCGTTGCACTTCATATCTGCTTACACCACACTTTTACATCTGTTAACCCACCATTTCACTGACTAAAACTATTTGAAGTTGAAATATTTTTAAAAGTGTTCATTACAGCATCATTTGGTAGCAATAGCAGTATTTTAATTCTGATTATTAACAGCATGTAATTGAGTCAGTTCTGACTCATAGCAACCCCTCCTTGGGTTTCTGAGGCAGTATCTCTACAGAAGTAGATTGCCCAGTCTTCCTTCCAAGGAGTGGCTGGTAGGTTTGAACCACCAACCTTCTGCTAGCAGTCAGATGCCTTAGGCATTGCACCACCAGAGCTCCTGTAAAAAAGAATATCCTAGAGATATTCTAGGAGGAAATGGGTTAATCGGATTTAGAGAGGTTGTAAACTGATTGTGTAGGTGTGCTTCTCAAGCCTGGCATTCCCGCATTCTCCAGCTTATCCTTGATGAGACTGGAGAAAGTCATGAAACTGTTAATTCATGCTTCTTCACTTTAATGCTTCCTGGCAACTTTTTTATTTGTCTCTGTTTGGCTTCTTGTCACATTCCTCACAGAATCTCACCCAAAGTCATCTTCTCCCACCCCTTTAGTCATCAGCTCCATCCCCTCATATCTTGGTCTCAGCATTTGATTTCATGTCTTTTATTAAGCAAACATGAATGATGTCATATAACATGAATCTCTTATTCTGTATTACTTCTTAATATGAGAATAAAAATGATGGTTCTCTCAGATATTACATGAATGTTTTCATTCCCAATTTAATGTACAAATTGGTTAAGCTAATATAAAATATTTGCCTAACTAACAATAACATGCCATGAATTCTTCTTCTAAGACTTGACATTCCTCCAGAGAAAAGAATATATCTACCATTCCACAAGAAATTTCTAGATTCTTATGATAACAATCTGAATTCAAAAGCCAGTTAGGAGGATGTGCTGTTAGGTCTGTACCTCAAAGTTACAAGCTTTAAGATAGATAATACACAATAGATAACCCTCCTCTAGGAACAGTGCAGACAGGTTAATATAGTATTCTTGTCAAGTATTTTTTTGTCTTTCTGTTATTTTTAATTAGAAGAAGTGATTCAACAGGCAATTAATTTCACACTACATAGGATCTTATCGTCCCAGGAGGGGTGTACTCAGTTAGAGCTAGGTGAGTGTTACATTGCTACTCAATCCACCCCACTGGAATGAACAGAAGTCTTAGAGAAAGGAGGCATGTTGGCCTAGACAGATATACCAACAAGTATATGGTGATACTCCAATGAGTAATAGTGTTTAAGAAAAAGAAATAGGTAAAGAGGCAGTTTAATGAAAAGAGCCTTTGGAGTTGGACTCGCTTGAGTTTGTAAGTTCTATCAGTTACTATCTGTGATAGTTAAGGTTGTGTGTCAACTTGGCTGCACTGTGGTTTTGAATGACTTGGCAGCTATAATTTCAGTTATTCCCCATAATGAGATTGAATGTGGTGTAATCACTACCTTGTGGGAATCTGCAGTGAGCAGTTGATCAGTTGAAGGAGTGTTGCCTTTGGGTCTGGCCTGTTTCCAGTTAGATGTATATAGAAAGGATCCTGCATTTGGCTTGTCATCATTTCCAGTTCCTGGACTTGAATCAGTGGCCTGCCATGTTGCCTGCCAATCTTGGCATGGTTGCCTGCAAAGCCTATGAGCCAACAGTCTGCCACTTTACCTGCCAGTCTTAGATTTGTCAGTCTCGGCAGGCAGCCGCAGCCTGCTATACTACCTGCCAGTCTTGAATTCGTCAGTCCTTGCAGCTGAATGAATCAGGAGAAGCCCCTACCTTGTTCCAGTGTGCCTGGAAGGCAGAGGTGAAGCCCAAGGTCAAGGGACCTCTATCCAGCCCCTACAGCCAGCACTTTGAACTCAGTCTTCTAGCCTCGTCTTCCGCTAGAGCTGGCCTCTGAACTCAGATTCCTGGTGTAGTCTTCCCCTAGAGCCAGCACTCTGAATTCAAAGTGTAGCCTCCTAAACTGTAAGAGAATAAATTTTTGTTTGTTAAAGCCATTCACTTGTGGTATTTCTCTTATAACAGCACTAGAGAACTAAGTTGTTGTTGTTATGTGCCGTCGAGTCAGCCCTGACTCATAGCGACCCCTCCTTGGGTTTCCAAGGCAGTATCACTACGGAAGTAGGATTGCCCAACCTTCCTTCCGAGAACTAAGAGACTACTTAAAAGCACCCCAGTCAAGGCAGGAGATCAGAGTAGGGCTCACTGCTTCAACTGCAGCTTGAAATTAGAAAGCCTGGATCTGTGAGAGGTAGCACTGACCCAGCCTGTAGCCATAACTGAGCCAAGCCTTCTAATGGTTCTGCAGTAGCCCAGTATTACTACAAACCTCTGAACCTTTAATAGTAATTCTGGTTCTGGAGTGGAGGCAGTCTATAAGACCACTAGACAGGAGGACTTATAAAAGGGTGGAGGTGAAAGAGTGGAACATTCAAAGATGTGAATGAAGCCATCTTTTTTAAAAGGACAAGAAATTAGGAAGCATAAATTGAAGAAAAAAAAAAAAAAGGCTAACATAAAATAAGAGCAAGTAGTTGTGATAAGGAGCAAATTAGAATTCTAGGAAATAAATTATAGTAAGTGGTAATAGTGCCTAAGGCGTTTGACTGCTAACCAGAAGGCTGGCGGGTCAAACCCACCAGCCACTCCTCAGAAGAAAGACTGGGCAATCTACTTCCGTAGAGATACCGCTTTGGAAACCCAAAGAGGGGTTGCTATGAGTCGGATTCGACTCAACAACTTGGAGTTTGGGTTTTGGTGTTTGTTTAATTGGACTTTTAAGATAGTCAATAGATGGGATAAACTGGATACAGTCAAAGAGAATTAGTAACTGGGAAGAGAGTTCTAAGGAATTGACTCAAATTTATTTAAGCTACAAATGTCAGATACTATTATAAGTTCTTCATATATATTATATGTAATACATATGCAGTATGTGCATTAACTCATTTAATCCTCACAATGCCTCCATTCATTTAATAAATATTTATTGAGTGCCTGTTATGTATCTGATACTATATTATTTATCTGTTGCTGCATAAAAATTACTCCAACACTTAGTGGCTTAAAAACAATCAACATTTAATATCTCACCTAGTTTATGTGGGTTGGGAATCCAAGAGTAGCTTAGCTGGGTTGTTTTGGCTCAGAGTCTCTCATAAGGTTCAGTAATTTGTCATCTGGTAGTACAGTCATTTCAAGGCTCAACTGCAACTAGAGAATCTGCTTCTAAGCTCACTCCAGTGACTTTTGGCAGAGTTTCTTTCTGACCATTGGCTAGACCTTCTATTACTTGCCACATTGACCTCTCCATTTGATCCCTCAGTGTCCTCATGACACGACAGCTATCTTCCTTGAGTGAGTGACCCAAAAAAGAGAACACCCAAGAAAGAAGCCAGTCTTTTTATGACCTAATATCAGAAGAGATATACTATAATTTCTGTTGGTTAGAAGCAGGTCACTAATTCCAGCCCATACTCCTGGGGAAGGGAGATAAGTGCCACCTCTGGAAGAGAGGAGTGTAAAAGAATTTGTGCACATAATTTTTAGAAACACCACAGGCAATATGATGTTCCAACATTGGCAGTCGGGGGGTTCCAACATTCATTTAATGTTAGAAGAAAATAAAAGCAATGGCAAAGAAGCAATATTTGAAGAGGTCATTGCTAAGAATTTTCCAGAATTGAGGATACAAGTCTTGAAATCAAATGTGCTCTCAGGATACCAAGCAGAATAGATAAGAATAAATCTTCATCTAGACACAATGATGAAATTGCAGAACATAAAAGGTAAAGAGAGATGAGCAAACAGAGACAAAACACATATTATCTACAGAAGAAGAGACTTGGCAGCAGCCACTGCACACACGGACTCTGCTCACTCAGGCCCCAATTGGTTCCTCTGTATGTCTAACAAACCCAGTATGGTTGAGACTGAGAAATTCAGTAAGTCAAAATTGAAGAAGACAAATACAAAAGAAATATCTCCTACCTTCAAAAGAAACAATTGATGCTCATCAGCAGATGAATGATTAAACTATGGGACATACACACAATGGAGTACTACGCAAAGTTAAAGACTAATGATGAATCTCTGAAATAACTTCATAACAATGATGAACCTGGAAGACATTATGTTGAGTGAAATTAGTCAATTACAAAAGGACAAATATGTATGAAGCTACTGTTGTAAAAAGCCAAGAAAAGGGTTTCACACAAAAAGAAATATTCTTTGATGGTTAATAAGGCTGGGAAGGGAAGAGAAGATAAACCACTAACTAGAGGGTAGACATACTGCGGTGTAGTAAATTACTTAGTGTGGCTTTTCTACCCATAAGTCTTTGTAAACTCTAAGGTGGGAATTGCTATTAGCTACGGAGGAGATCCTGATTTTAAAGTCGCCCACCTGGGTTATTTCTGTTGGGCGTGGCACAATACAATGTTCTGGGAAGTTCCCAC